ACCTTAGAACAATCACCAAATCCTCCAAAATCTTCTTCTTCCTCTCCTTTTTTAGCAGCTGGAGCTTCTTCTTTCTTTTCTTCAGCTTTAGTTTCAGTAGCAACAGCAGTAGCAGCAACGGCAGTCATGTTATTGAAAATCTTTTCAGCCAATGGGAATACAACACCACTCTCTTTTGAGAATCCAAGGAGAGCTTGGAATGCATTGAGCATAATGTGTGGGCAGGCTGCTTCGGTTGGGAGATTAGCGGCAAGTGAAATAGCAGTAGCAGCTTGAACACCTTCTTGGAATTTTTTGACAATATCAGATTCAGTTAAGTCAAGAGCCTTAGCATCATAAACAATACCATTATCATAAACTACATCAATGACAGCTCCATATTTGAATGGGTTAATCTTTAATTTTTGAAGAAGAACAGCTTGTGATACTCCAACTTTTTCTCCTTCTTTAATTAAAAGAGTTTCTGAAGTAATTTCAATTTGACCTTTAGTAATCTTTGATGCAATATTCAATGCTTGGACAAAGTTAGTTTGAGTTGGGTCAAGTCCTGTATCACCAGCTGGTACAATGACATCATTTGGTGCAATAACTCCGGCTTTTGCTGGTGATGGTGCTTTAAGTTCAGTAAGTTTAGCCTTTAATTGATAAAGATCACCTTTAGTAAAGATGAATCCAACATTACCTTTAATGTGTGGAAGAAGTTCTTCAAGTTCTGGTTGAGTTTCTGCTTGGTTCTTGATAGCTTTTCTAATAAGAGTATTCTTTCCCATAACAAATTCACAAGTTCCTCTTAATTCTTTTCTGATAGTTTGGAATTGAGATGATCCGACATTATCACATTTAACAACAACAACTTGTTTATACTCTTCCAAGAGTTTTTTCATTTTGGCAAGATATGCTTCTTTCTTAGCTTTCTTTTGTTCTTTACTTAAACCAGCTTTGTGTAAGGCCATCGCTAGCTATCTCAATTTCTTAGATTATAGGGTTTTTCTCTTCCTTCTAATTTTTACTATTAATTATAGTTTAATTTTTATCAATTATAGATTTGTATCATAATTATTTCAGTTTATAAATTTTATAGAGTTTCTTCATAGTTTATAAAAACAAATTACATAAACAATAACAAAAATTTAAAGAACAATAAAAAGAACTTAATTGTGAATTACATCAACATCTGATTATAGGCAGCATCAATTTCCATTGGATTCACTAAATATTGACCTTCTAAAAATGGTGATTCTGGGACTCCTCCAAATAAAGAAGACATGTATTGTTTTTGTTCTTCGATGTCCATTGTAGGACCATAATTACCGATCATTGGACTAGTAGTTAATTCTGGTGGAATTGTGTTAATAAAGCTTGGTTCAAATAGTTGAGATCTTTGTCTCATTTTATTAATTTGAGCAATTTTCATATTTCTTTCTTTATTTAATTCAGCAACAGTTGGCATATTTTCAAACATATTTGGTATTGGTTTTTCTTGAATTAATTGTTGTCCCATTGGTTGAAGACCTTCTTGTTTAGCTCTTTGTTGTGTTTTATAAACAGTTTTTTCAATAGCTCTCTTATTTTCTTTAATAGCATTCATTTTTGGCTTACTTGTAATACTTTTTTTTGCGACTAAATTACCTTTTGTTATTTTTTCTTTATTAATTGCTTTTTTCATTTTAATGTTTTGTCTGACAAGTTCATCTTTTTGTTTTTGAATTTTCTTTTTAGCTTCTTTAACTTTATTTAATTGTTTTTGTTCTTCATTACTCTTTTTAATTTCTTTTTGAGCTTCTTGAACAACTTTCTTAGTTTTCTTAAGTGATTCTTGTTGTGCTGGAGTTAAAACTTTTTTTAATTGTTTATTAACAACTTTATTAACAGCTACAGATCTCTCTTTTTTATTAATGTCAACTGCAATATTATCTTTCTTAGTAGCTTTCAATACAATATCAGCAGATTTACTCTTAAGAGCATTTGGTTGTAATCCTAATGCAGTATTTTTAACTTCTTCCATAATTGCTTTATAAGCTTTTTTATAAACACTCTTTTCTGCTTTTTTCTTTTCTAATTTAATTTTTTGTTGATCATTTCCATATTTCTTCTTAGCTTCTTCTACAGCTTTCTTTCCAGCTCTTTTAGCAGCAATGGAACTGTATTTTTTAGCTGATTCTTTTGCAATTTTTTTAACTTGTTTTTTTGCTTGTTTTGTAATCTTTGATACTTTCAAATTAGATGTACTTCCAACTCTTCTTTCAAGTCTGTGTCTTCTGATAAATTCATTACGCTCAATTCCAGTAAGTCCATCAGCAATTCCTCTCATTTTATCAAGGAATTTTCTTGAAGCAGCTCTAAGAACTCTTAACTCGCTTAAAATTGATTCAATACCTCTTTCAAGTTGGACTCTTGATGTAGGATTTGCAGCAAGTCTAAGGTCATGATAGTGCATTCTCAATTGATCTTTAAGAACCCTTTCTCTATCTTCATTAATTTGAATACGTTTTTCTAATTCAACTACATCTTTTTCACTTGTAACAAGATTAGCAGCCAATATCCCTGTATGTCCAATTTCACTTATAAGCGCAATACTGGAAATAACAAATACTGAAATAAAAAGAATTTGCTTCATAACTTTCAAAATAATATAATTTTTTTTAAGTTTTTTTCTTTTTTTTTAGTTCCTTTTTTTTGTTTTTAAAAATTTTTTTTTGATTTTTATTCTTTTCGTTAAAACATTCCATCTTGTCATGACGTGCCTTTAGTGAGATAACGCCTTATTCAAGACTAATTGGTTATTACTAATATTTGTTATGAGTTATTATTAAAGAATGCTATTTATTATAGTGGTGAATTCATTACGATATTAGTAATATTTATTTAGCAAGACGCAATAGATTTATCAATGATAGTTTTTGGTTGGATGTATAGGGTTGTCAAGAAAAAGGGATTCTTTAAGGGGTGTTGACGGTAAAAGAGATGAGTTATAGTCATATTGTTATAAACATATTCTTCTTATAATAACATTATAACAACGTAGAGTTTTAACATTCATTAAATTCAAAATAAAAATCAGGTAGTAACTTAATTGATGAGTTGTTTCATTTGAGTAAGTTTGAAAAAACTTTGTTTCATTAGAAATAAAGGGTGCTGAAGAAATTGATATACTCAATTCTCAACATAATGAAAGCCTAATCATAGATAGTTCATAATTGACTTCTTTTTTTTTTTTTTCTTTTCATTAAAACATTATTTTTAATTATTATGTTGTAAAATAAGGAAAAATAACAAAATTTCAAAATATGATGGATTTGTAGGAAATGTATCAATCACAAAAATTCAATTCAATGGCGATGAGAGTCCCTTTTAGATCTATCTCTGTCTTTATCTCTTCGAGGTGATCTACTTCTTGAACGATGTCTTTCACGTCTTGATCTGCTTCTTGAGTGGTGTCTTTTTGACCCTTTAAAATGTCTAGAATGGGAACGAGAATGTCTTGAGCGAGACCTTTTTCTTTCATTTTCATCACCTCTTCTATTACTTTCACCTCTACGTTGTTGGTATAACTAATTGTATTAGAAATAAAAAGAAAAGAAAACCAAACTTCTTCAATTCATTTGCATAATATTCTTTTGAAGAAGTATGTGAAAATTGACCGTTCTCATAAATAAATTGAAGTTCTGTTTTAGTGGTCCATGGTTGAGCTAAAATCTTTTCACTACACAGTTTATCTTTGTCACCAACCAAATCTTCAACTGGACTTTCACTTAGAGCTTTAATAAATCCATCACAATCGCTTTTATTTTTTAATGTAACAACAGCAACTCCAAGAGATTTACCGCTTGAGACATCAGTTTTAATATCAACAGAAATGACTTCAACAAGTTTTGATATTATATCTTTAATTTCAGTGTCTTTGACATACTACTTATTACCCTCTCATTTCTTTATTAAGACCAAATAATAAATAAACAAACATAGTTAAAAGTTCCAATAATCAAAGTTGGTTCAATCATCAAAACGTGTTAATACAAATTTTAAGTGAAATTTTTTGATTTCTTATTTATTTTTCTTATTTTTTTTCTGACTAAGCACAATATATTCTTTTTTAAACAATATGAAAATCAATTTATAATAAAAAAAATTTTAACACAATTTTTTCTTTACCAAAAAGTATTCATTTAAAGCTTAACAAGGAATAAGTGAATAGAGTCGGTGACACACTTCAAAGTAACATTTGCGTCTTTGATTGATGCTATTTCTCCTTCTTTAACTTTCATAATAACTCCATAAGATTTAAGGAATTCTTCTTGTGCCTTAATTGCTTCATCAATGTTAGTATGATTAGAATCATCATAACTATAATAAACAACAACGTTGTCATCAACTTTCAATCCAGCTTCCTTTCTTAATTTTTGAATTCTGTTGTTAACTTCTCTACAAATTCCTTTTTGAATTAAATTAATATCACGAACACAATCTAACAAAACTAATACATCCTTGTCCCACATTGCTTCTTGTGTTGAAGTGTCTCCACTAAATTGTCTATGGACTTTAACTTCCTCTTCAGTGAAGGTTTGTCCTTCAATTTCAATTTTTCCTTCTTCAATAAACTTCAAAATTCTATTACGATCAACTTTCATTAAAGCGTCAATATATTTCTTTCCTTCTTTTTTATATTTCTTACCAATAACAGCTCTTTCTGGAGCCAATGAAAGAGTAATAAATTGATCTTGTTCAGTAGTAGCAATAACTTCTTCTACATTTAATTCAATAGCAATATACTCTTTAAATACCATTAAACGATCAAGGAATTCTTGAGATCCATGGATAATTGTTATTTTTCTCAATGGCTGTTTCAATGGAAGGATTTTCTTATCACGAGCACTTCTACCTAATTCAATGATTTTCTTAAGGGCATCAACAACTTCTTCAAGTTTAGCATCATGGAATTGTTCAAGTGGTTCAGGAATTTGGACAAAATGAACAGACTCTTCCATCTTCTCTTCATAATTTAATGGGAAGGCTTTTAATTTTTGATAACAGAATTCAGAGAAGAATGGTGTAAATGGTGCCATAAGAATTGACATAATCTTCAAGCAGTGATATAAAACACTACATGAAGTTTCTTGTGCAGCTTCACCATAACCACCTCTAAATCTTTTTCTATTTAATCTGATATACCAGTTAGAAAGAGTTACAAGCAAATCAACTAATGGCGTAATAATAGTGTAAAGTCTAAACATTTTCATTTCTTCTCTAACTTTCTTTACAAGTGACATTAATGATGAAAGAATCCATCTGTCCATATCATTCATATTAGCAATTTTATCAATAGCCATAATCTTCATCTCAGGTTTAAATGATTGTTTAAGATATCTTAATGTGTTAAACCATGGTAAGAAAATGGTTGAAATTAATTCTTTTAATGTTTTTTCTTGGAATTTAACTGTTTCTGCTCGTACAGCTGGTGAATTAATAAGTGATAGTCTTAAAGCATCAGCACCATAAAGATTAATCATATCCATTGGATCAGGATAATTCTTTAATCTCTTTGACATTTTTTTACCATCAGAAGCAAGTACAAGACCATTAACAACACAATTCTTAAATGGTGCTTTTCCAAATAAAGCAGTAGAAATGACAATAAGGGAATAGAACCATCCTCTTGTTTGATCAATACCTTCAGCAATAAAATCACCTGGGAAATTTTCTTTAAATTGTTCAACATTTTCAAATGGATAATGACTTTGTCCATAAGGCATAGACCCTGATTCAAACCAGCAATCAAAAACCTCAGAAATTCTATGAAGTTTTTTACCATTCTTTTCAATAACTAAATTATCAACAAACTCTCTGTGAAGATCTGTAACTTTTTGTCCAGTAAGTTCTTCAAGTTCTTTTACACTTCCTACACAAACAAATTCAGTATAATCATCATCAGTCCAAATTGGAATTGGTGTTCCCCAGAATCTGTTTCTAGAAATAGCCCAATCTCGTGCATTTCTTAACCAATTTTCAAATCTACCTTCTCTAATATTTTCTGGAACCCAATAAGTTTGTTGAGAACTTTCAACTAATTTATCTTTGAAAGATTCAACATTAACAAACCATGATGGAATAGCACGATAAATTAATGGGGTGTCAGATCTCCAACAGAATGGATATGAATGTGTAATAGTTGCTACATTAAAGATTCTTCCTTCTTTCTTAAGTCTTTCAATAATATCTTTATCACAATCTTTAATATATCTACCTTGATAATCTGGTACCTCAGCTGTAAATTTACCTGAAAAATCAATTGGACAAACAAGATTAGTTCCTTTACTAATAATACCATTAGCCATACAAACACGATAATCATCTTCACCAAATCCAGGTGCTTGATGAACAATACCAGTTCCAGAATCATTTTGGACATAATCATCAGCAACAACTCTGAAACATCCTTTAAGGTCTTTGAAATAAGGGAATAATGGAACATAAGTTTTTCCAACAAGATCTTTTCCTTTCAATTTTTCTATTATTGTTCTTTTTGCTTTTTTAGCATTAGGAAGTGTTGGCATTAAACACTCCATCATATAATAATTATGTTTAGTAGGTTCATCATAAAATTTAACATAATCCATATTAGGATTGACACAAAGTGCAAGATTAGATGGAAGAGTCCATGGTGTAGTTGTCCATGCAAGGAAATAAGTATTTTCTTCTCCATTAACAGGGAATGTCATAGTGACAGCTGGATCTGGTACATCTCTATAGGCCATACCTGCTTCAAAATTACTTAATGGTGTACAACATCCAGTAGAAAATGGCATAATTTTTAATCCTCGATAAACTAAATTCTTTTCATATAGTTGTTTGAATACCCACCAAACTGATTCCATAAAATTAATGTCCATTGTTTTATAAGGATGATCCATATCAATCCATCTGCCACATCTCCAAACAACTTTTTTCCATTCTTCTGAATATCTCATAACAATATTTCTACATTCTTGATTATACTTTGGAATACCAAGTTTAAGTACTTCTTCAGTTGTATGAATACCTAATAACTTATCAATTTCGAACTCAATTGGAAGTCCATGAGTATCCCATCCAAATTTTCTATCGACTCTGTGCCCTGTTTGAATAGCATATCTACAAACTGTGTCTTTAATAGTTCCTGCAAGTAAATGTCCATAGTGTGGAAGTCCTGTAGCAAAGGGTGGTCCATCATAGAAAGAAAAACGAGGTCTGTCTTTAGTTATTTCATTACATTTATTAAACACATCAATCTTTTTCCAGTATTCAATAATTTCCTCTTCAGTTTTGGGAAAGTTAATTTGACTTGGTAATTCTGTGTTCATGGAATAGTGTTGTTCTTAGTTCGTAGGGTTTTTCTGAGTCATTTCAGCCACGTCTTTTTTTTTTTCATTCTTCTTTTTCTTTTTTAACTTTTTATTATATTTTTTGAGATAATAGGGATTTGGTATTAGCAAGAAGGATATTTCCCAATCCTCATTCATCCTTTATTACTAGTAATAGAAATTTTCATTTAATGTCTTTCTTTATTTTTTATGAAGCACCAAAACAAAAATCTATACTGTTTCTTTGAGTCTTTTTAAATTAGAATTAATTGTATTTTTTCAAAATTATCATATTTAGAATCTTAAAAATCGTTACTATACTTTCCTGAGTGTTTTAATGCTAATAACTCTGCCTCATCTTCTCTTCTGCCTTCTTCTGCCAACCGCTCTTCTTCTGCAACCATTCCAGCATATCCTACATCATCATAATCATCATCATAATTATATTTAAAATCATCATCAATGAAATTGTCGTATCGTTGTTCTTGAGAGTGGTTAGAAGGTGTTTCTTTTCTTTTCTGTATAACACTAGACTTTTTGACTTGACTTAACACTGTTTTAGGGACAGATGACACTGATTTTGCATTTTTTTTTCTGAACATGAGTTCTATTTTCTCTTCATCTGTTAATTCATTTAGCTTTTTGGGTTTCTTTTCTATTGTTTTAGTGATAGACCTTTTGCTGTTGTTTGTCAAAATTTTTTCTGGCTTCTTTGCTTCAGACTTGACTCGTTTTGTTTGTACATTTGGGAGATATTTTCTTTTAAATTCTTCAGGGTCAGCTTCTTTTTCATAAAGTTGGTCTAGCGTTAATGCAGCTTTTCCTTTATACCATCCTAATTTATTCATAACTGTCAATAAAGTTCTCCTATAACCTTTTTAAATTCCATTTTATTAAACACAAAATAATATTGTTTGTTTTCTTTAAGTACTTATTAATGTGTTATATTTTGTTATTGCTAAACCACTTTCTATAACAAAATGTATTATAGTTATTATTTTAATGTTATTAAATACTTTTTAGTTTATTTTTTTATAAGATTTTGTTTTTCTCTTTTATTTAACACCCTTAATTTTGCTTATTATTTTATCTTTGTTTAATGAGAAAATATTCTTAAAAAATATTTGATAGAATATTTATTTTTATTTTTTTTATTTTTTAAGTTGTCACGGTTTTGTTTCTTCCCTCTTCAATTTATCCAAGGAAGAACGATATTAATATATAGAAAGGAGATAAATTATATAAACAAAATTAAAAATAAATAACTTGTTTAAACTGTCTGTTAAAAGTATATACTTCATTATTAAAGATGAAAATAGAAAGCCAACTGATATTAAATCAAATTGAAAAACAATATTACAAAATCAAATTTGATGTAAAAAATATACATATTATCAAAAGAATGATTATTATACAATATTATAATCATTCAGTTATTAATTAAGGATAAATGGAAATGGGTAGAAACATATTATGATGTCTCTAAAGCATATGATAGTATTAATCATCAATGGGTTAAACAATGTTTAATTTATTTTAACATCCCATTAGTTGTAATTAATAGTATATTATATATATTAAATAATACACAACTATAATTATATTATAATAAACAAAATGTAGGTATAATTAATGTAGAAAGAGGAATAATACAAGGTGATAGTTTATCTAATTTATTATTTGTATTATCTATTGATATATTATCTAAATAATTAGATAAACAAATTAATATTTTATCTATTAAAATGAATGGAGAAGAAAAACAAGTAAAGTTAAACCATATATTATATATTGATGATTTAAATATAATAACTAACAACATAAATGAAATTGAAAAACACACAAATTAACAAAATAAATATTTAATAGAATATGATTAAAAATAAATGTAGAAAAGAGTGGGATAATGACTAATATCAATGGTCAAATAAATGGAGAAATAGCTGAATTACCAAGAGTAACTAATGATGGTCATTATAAATATCTTGGTATTGAAATAAGAGATAAAATAAATATTAATAAATATTGTACAAGATATTAAATGATGTATCTTCTATTCTATCATCATTAAATATTATGAACTATATCAGCCTCAATACAATAAGAAAAATTAATAATGATATAATCTCAAAATTAAGATATTGATTCTGTATTATCAAATGGAAACTTGGTGAGTTTGAGAATATAGATAAATAAATAAGAAAATCATTAATATAACTCAAACCATACAATAGAAACATCCCTAAAAGTAGATTATATGTTACAATAAATGAATTAGGAATTGGTATAATGTCATCACGAGATGAATGTGGTAATGAAATAATAAGAATATATTTAAAATATAAATATCAAATACAGAAATAAAAGAAATGATAGAGTCAGTAAAGGATAATTCAAAATTGAATAATTAAAAGAATAAAAAGAGTATTTTGTAAGAATATTAATTTCAATGAATTAATATAATACAAATAAATGAAAGAAAACATGATGTAAGCAAAGTATTTGAATTTGTAACAAATAAATTAAATGAAAGATATTTAAATGAATTGAAAGAAATGAAGTGAATATATAAGAAATGTAAATTGTATATTTAATAATAAGAAATTAACAGTAGCCATATGGAGGTCATTAAATATAAAAAGAAATATATTCCTCCAAGTAGTAAAGATGCAAGAAGGAGTAACTATGAATTGAATGTTAAATCTAAAATACTTAATTGTGATGCTTTAAAATATTGTAAACATTGTCCTAATACAATTCCATCTATTAGCCATATATTGTTATGATGTAATGAAGAATAATCAAATATCAAAACACGATTATGTATGTAAACAAATATATAAACATATATTAATTACCCATTTTAATGAATTTGATGAAATAGATTTTAATACATATCATAAATATATTGACAATAATGAAATGGTTATAAATTACAATAAAGAATTATTGGTTAGTGATCATTCTTTTAATGCTAGAAGACCAGATATATATTATCAAATCATCAAAGATAAAAAATGATATATTAATGATGTTGACATATGTCAAGATAGAAACATTGAATTAAATTATATTTACAAAATAAATAAATATAAAGAACTACAAGAGAAGTTAATACAAAGTAGAGAAATAATACTTGTAATATTAACAATCAATTAATACATAATGAATCAGTAAGAAGATTGAAAACACTAAAATTATATTTAAATTTCAACAAAATACTACGAACAACCATTATTAAAAACATGAAATACTTAATGTTCTACACATTCAACACTGGTAACACATTAGAAGAAGAACATTCTAATTCTCATATATTAGAAATGAACTCTGTTATAGAAATAGAGTATATTGAAGAAACTGAAACAATCAATTCTCAATAACCATGAAATCAAATTGTGGATATATCTATTAATTGACCCATTTTTTATTTTGGAAATAATTAAGAATCACGGAAATAATGAAAGTTAAATTTATTAAAGTAATAATCTTATTTAAGATTGGTGTCGTTAGAAAAACTCAGAAATAAATGGGTATAACCGTGACCTAATGTTTACAGTGTTGTTGATTTATTTAATCACTTTAAAATTAGTTTAAGATATATTTTGTTTTTTGGGACAAAAAATTATTTTTATTTTTAAATGTTCTAGAAAAAAAAGAAATCAATCAAAAACAAAAGAAAACTATTTTAAGTTTGTTTTAACTCTTATTCAGTTATTTTTAATTATAAAAATATCCATTTCTTGAAATCTTAAGGAAAATAAAACAAAGACAAGTAATTATTTGAAGCAAATACCAATTTACTAAAACAGAAGTTCGAAAATCCTATGTAGTTTTATTTTTTATAAAAAATAAAAAGAACTAATTTGGAAAGAAAAACGCTAAATTATTGTTTATTCTGGTGGATATTCTTTAACAAGCATATCAGCGAATTCTTTATAATCGACGTAACCTTCTCTGCTTACTGTAGCAGATCTCATGATAGCTTCAACTTCAGAATTTGAAAGTGGTCTTCCTAAAACTGAAAGAATTTGTCTTAATTCAGCTTCATGAATTTGACCATTCTCTTCTTTATCTAAAGCAGTAAATACACCAAACATATCATCATACAAATCTTTAGGTACTTTCATTTCACACTTCTTATACAATTGTCTAATTTTTTCAACTCCAACAAGGTCTTCTTTTACTTCTCTCATAATAGCCTCTTCTTGTTGCTGAGTTGGTGCTTTTCCAAGAGCTCTCAATAATTCGATGACTTGGTCTCTAGAAATCTTCTTGTCATGATCAATATCTAAGATTGAAAAATAATCATCAATCAATTCACTGGTTGTCATATTTTGTGATTTTCAGATCTTGCTTCTCAAAAAAGCAAATGTTAGAACTTCAGCGGCGATCTCTCATTTATTTTTTCTTTTTTATCTCCTTTTTTCTTTTTTTATTCATTCCTTGATAATCTAGTATTTAATAGTCCTTTGAAACTAAAATATTTCAACACACCTATCACTGTTCTTTGAAAATTAAATGGTTTTGAAATGGACTACTGAACAAAACAAATTACCGTCATTGAATCAGTTGTACAAAGATTTTTAGCTAAACTATTAACTAATATATTTTTTGATAGTCAACCCATTTTTTGGTTAATTAAAAAATTAGTTGGTTGTTTATTCTAAATAGTGTGTATGTAGTATAACCAATATGAACATTTTAGATGAGGTTGTCTAATAAAAATTTTTATCTTCTTTATGTTTAATTGAATAGTATTTTTATTATAATTTAATTAAAATGGAAACCTAATACTAAAAAATGATAAGATCTTAGTTATTTTAATAATGATTTTCTCTCAAATTGCCATTACTGTATATTCATTAGCTTGTTGTGCAATTTCTGAGTTTATTACAAAGTATTTTGTTACTGACAGTCCTGTATATATATCTTTAAATAACGAGGCTGAGGCATTAGAGCAAAAGAGTTTGTTAAAACATATAAAAAAAAGGATATTACTTATATATTAGTTTCAAAATTAGGAGGATATGAAAATAAAAAGAAACGAGAAAAATTAGAAAAGGACCAATCAACTCTTAAACAACAAATTGCTTTTCATAAATTTAAACCAATGATTTTAAATTTAGTATTTATGATACTCTCTACTATTGCAGTTAATTATATGTTTGAACCAGTAAAAGTTGGTAAATTACCATTCCAACCATTCTCATTTTTTACAAAAGTAACACACCGTAACCTTCCAGGTGATGATATGACTGATTGTTCTTTATTCTTCTTTTATGTCTTAATGAGAATGGCATTTAAACCAATTATGGCTAAATTGTTTGGCAATGATAATGTTAATGAAGCAAGTTTCATGAATGCATTTGTTCCTGAAAACGAAACATTTAAATCAAAATGAATGAAGTCATAAACAATCTAAAAACTTTAATTAATTAAAACAACTAGAAATATTTCTCTTGTTATCTTTTTTAACTAATCATATTAATTTTGTTGCATCTTTACAATGTTTTATTTCTTTTATAACTTCTTTAATATTTTCATTAATTATATCATTTACATGTGGTGGTACTTCATGTTCTTTTATTTGATACTTTGGTCGTTCTTTATTAATTAAAATAGGTAATTTTTCACTAAATTTTTGAAGAGTTTTAAAGCTAGTAGTTGATGGATAATTTTCTACAGTCAATTTAGTGATAACAATAAACACATTGAATTTTTCATCATAACATCCATAAACTTTGTATGGAGCTCCACAGTACATAAATTTGTAAATCAATAAACAGAGTGATACTTGTAAGTTTTTTAATTCATGCGGGAGTCTAAAACTGTATTGATTTTTTTCTTCTATTTTATTTATTAAACTAATGCTATCCTCTTCTAATTCCATCATATCACCACTATTACCTTCTTTCTTTTGAACTTCAGTATTTTCAATTTCACCTTCAGTTGTTTCTAGTTCTTCATTTAATTGATTTTTTCTTGTTTCTTCTTGTTGTAAATTGGTATTGGATTTTATCTCGATGTTTGGTATTATAGTAATGGTTTTATTATCAATTGGTATTTCACTATCAATAGTGTTATTGAGTAAATTGTTTTGAGTTACTTGTGTTTCTTGCATTTGATGTTTTTCTTTTTGGATATCAATTGTGTTTAAGTGTATTTGTGGAAATTCTGTTTTCTTTTCTAATGACTTTCCTTCATTACTTTTGTATGACTTTTCAGTACTTATTTGTTTTAATTCACTTTCACTTTTTTTTTCATTTTTATAATCTCCTGTATCTTGTCCATCTAACACCTCTTCCATTTTATTATTTTGGTATCCTTTGATAAGTTCAAGATCAGATGTCCTTGTTTTGTCTTGGGTGTTGTTTAAGATCCAACTCTTCACACCAAAATTCCCATCTTCACTTTGAGTTGGAAAAGGAGTAATATCAATGTCATCATCTTCTCTTTTTTCATTTCTTTTTGTATTATCTTTGTTAATTAATGACTTTTTACTCCAATCATCTGAATCACTTTCAATCTCAAGGTCATCATCATTTTTCTTTTTCTCAATTTGTTTCTTTTTAATAAGTTCAAATTCTTGAGTTGATATCTCTTCTATTTCGTCATTAGTTTTTCTAGTTTCATCAATTTGGAATTGTCCTGCTTTGTTATCAATAATTCTCTTTAATTTAAGTTCTTTTATTTGAGGCTTTTTCGTATTTTGTGTAAAACTGTCTTTCATCGTTTGAACACTTTGTTGTGATAATTTAAACTCTTCTGCAGCAACATCGATAAGATATTCGTTCTCAAGTTTTTCTTGTCTTTTTTTCTCTTCTCTCTCATTAATTTCGTTTTTGACATCTCTGAAAATACGATCAAAATCTTCCCAAGATTTGGTAAATCCTGGTCTTATTTCATTTGTTAGTGGTTCTTTATTAATAGTATTAAACGAAATAACTGGATTTTGTATGTTTTTTCTCATTGTGTTTTGAATTAAATGATTACTAGTTAATTTTTTTCTTTTTGTTTAAAAAACTTCAACTAAAATAAACAGTTCTTTAACTTTTTTAGATATTGAGATAAATAACAAAAAATGAATTATTTTGAAAGATTGGTAAATAATTCTCTTGTTGCCAAAAGATCGTCTAAATTTGTATTAACCATTTCAAGATACTTAAGATTGTTTCTCCATAGTGTGTTTATTTTTAAAGAGAGTGTTGAGTGTAGTTTAATGATATTTGCTTCACAAGAATCAATACAAGTAAGAGCTTCTTTAGAAAGAATATTAGTAAAACTAGTGTTATCTCTAACCACATTTTTTGTCATTGGAAGAAGATAACTTTTAATCATATTAACATGAAGATTAATAATGGCACATATGGTTTGAAATGATTTAGTTAAAACAACTCGTTCAGCACTTTGTTGAAGAACATAAAAGAATAAATCAAGAGCTTCTCCAAATTCAGCAATTTTAATACGTTCTTTAATAGAATGTGTTAAAGTAACAGAAACATAAGACTCTTCTAGTAAAACAAAACTGTTCAACAATTTATCTAATTCATCATCAAGTTTTTTTATACTTTCTATTGGTTTATTTTTGACTTCATCACTTGCATTAATTTTACCTAAGAAATCATTAAAATAATCTTTATAAAATGAAATAACATTACTAATTGATGATGTTTCATCAAGAACAATTAATACATCCTGTTCTGGGTAGTCTTTCGTTCCCTTTTGAGTTTGAAGTGATGAAATTCTTCTAATAGAAGTAAAAGTAATAACTAGTGTAAGTACACAAATATTAATTTGATCATATAATTGTTGAATAATGAAATAATATTTATCTGGTTGAAACACATCAATAGCTTTAATACTGTTTTGTCTAGAAACAACTTTTAATGAAAAATCTACAAATCCTTGAATAGTTTTAGTAAAAATAGCTTCAGCTTTTATTGTATTAATATCAAGTTTAAGTAATTTTTCTTTAATTGTAGTTGATTCATTTAGAATTAATGTTGTATAATATGTAATATATTGTTTGGTTGCAAATTCTGAAGATCCTATTCTTATCATTAAATCAGTATAACGAAGAATTTGTTTCATATCTCCTTTTTCTGTTGCATTTTTAAAATTATTCATAAACTCTTCTTCAATACTTTTTTGTAACAAATTAATTTCTTCTTTCATAATACGACTACATTTGTTCCCATAACTTTTTAATTGAACAAAATGCCTGACTGTTCCATCATAGTCTTTTGTTTTAAATGATTCCTTACATTTATTAACAACATTACGTTGTTCTTTAGCAACAACTAACATTTGGAGAACTAAATTAATTCTGTCTTGTGTTCTCTCTATTCGTTTAATATCACTATTAATACCTGAAGCGTTGTTTGCTGCTTGATCAATTATTTTTCTAAAATTTTCTGTTTTTTCTTGGATAGGAGGAAGTGATGAATTGATAAGTGTCAATATCTCATTTATTTGAGATTGGATCTGCTCAATTTTATTGGTTTCCATTTAATCAATTTTTTTAGTATTTTTATTTTTTAGATTTTAGTTTTTTATTAACAACTAAATAATCATTTTTTATGAATTTTTTGCATTAAATAAAAAACTGAAGAATATATTTTAGTTCATTCCATTAATTAACAGAACTAAATATTTATATTAAAGATTTTTCTAATGAATGAACCGTTTTTATCAAAAGAAGAACGCCTTACTTCCTTTGATGGACTCATTGACATGAGTCAAACAAATGATAGTTTTATCATTGAAAATGATATTGAGATGTTTAGAAAAGAAGAAAAGGCAATGCAGTGGAGTACAATGAAAGTAATAAGACATCTTATTCATTTATTAAAAACGAAATGGTATTGTGTAGTTTTTGTTATTATGTTTATAACATTTTCGATGATTGTTTATTTTAGTGATTGGAGATATGAACAAATAGAAGGAGTTAGTTATAAGACAGTAATATGTTTAATATCATTAGGAATAATGATGACATTAATTTTAAGTGAAATGTATCATCCAGGAGTAATTATGATGTCTGTTGTTGGGTTTTTAATATCATGTAATGTTATTACACCAAGTCAAGGATTTCAAGGTTTTAGTGATCGTACATTTATTACACTTATAGTTTCATATATTCTTTCATCAGCAATAGTAAAGAATAGAAGTTTAGAATTTATAACAAGAAACATATTACCAGAAACTTATCAAACAAGAGTTTGGCCATCATTATTATTAATGGTAATTACTGTTGCTACACTATCTATTTTTATAGATAATACACCAGTAGTAATGATTGGTATTTCAATTATATTTTCATGGAAAAAAACATCAGGCATAGCAGTAAGTAAAGTTGTGTTACCAATCTCATTTGCTGCTATTCTTGGTGGAATGAATTCTATCATTGGTAATTCATCATTTCATAGAGCTAGAAAATTATTATTAGAAAAGGTTAGTGAATTAGATAAAAGAGGTATTCATCTTAATATAACTATGCCAATATTTGAAATTAGTGTAATATCATTTATTATTGTAATTCCTGCATTAATTTATATTATCTTTGCAAGCAATTTATTACCTAATAAAAAAGATTCATTATCTCACATAACAAATAAAATCTATTATTTCTCCTTTAGAGTAACTAGTGCTTCAAGATTTGTTGGAATTCCAATTGGAAAAACTGTATTAATTAAACCTCCTTGTGGTACCTTAAGAACTATCAGAAGAGGTGCAACATATGAACAAGTAACTGAAGACCTAATTATTCAAGCTGATGATATTTTATGTTATACTGCTCCATCAAAAATATTAGATGATGTATTAACATATAATGGTATTGTTCCAGAAGATCCAACAATTACCGATTTATCAAATACTAAAGTGTACGAAGTTGCATTAAATCCAAGTGATCCATTAATAGGACAAAAAGTAGACACATTGTTTGAAAGAAAAGTTAGTGTTCTTGGAGTAAGTATTGATGAAGATAAATGGGAAGAAGAGTTAAAAACGATTGATATTTTATCAGCTACATCAACATATATTTTATTAACAAAAGGAGAAAAAGAGTTAAGAGGAGATTCATTTCATATTGTTACTGATATTGGTATTCAATTACCTGCCCCAACGAATGTATTTAAGATTATTATCCCATTGTTATGTCTTCTTGTTCCATGTATTCTTGAAGCAACTAAAGTTACTACATTAGCTATATCAGGATTTGTTAGTGTATTAATATTAATTGTTACTGGGTGTATGACAGTTAAAGATGTATATAATTCTATTGATGTTCAAGTTTTGTGTGTAGTTGGAGCATCTTATGGTATTAGTGCTGCAATAGATAAAAGTGGAATTGGTAATTTGTTAGCTTTGTCAACTACTAAATGGTTCTATCCATGTGGTAAATTTGGTATTTTATTAGGTATTTTCTTACCAACATTAATTCTTGCTCAACCATTAGCTAATACTATGATTGTTGATATTATGTTCCCTGTTGTATGGAATTTGTATTATGGTATTAATGATTCATCTCCACATGGCGCAATTATTGGAATAAAATCAGGAATGTATACCATGATGATTGCATCTTCTAGTTGTTTCTTAATGGCAATAGGTTATCCAACACATTTTATTGCTAATCGTCATGCCAATTATACAATGAGAGAGTTTTGTGTTTATGGATTGCCTGTGTTTATCTGGGTGACATTGTGTGGAGCATTATTGCCATATTTATTCTTTGAAGCAAGAAAATAATTTAACTTATTAAAAACTATTCTTTTATAGTTTTTTTCTTAGATTTATTCTCATTTATTCAAGACTCAAAATATCTTGAGATATAACTTGAAATATTTAATCATTAATAATGGAAATTGATGGTGGTCAACTCGAAGGTGGTGGTCAAATAATAAGAACTTGTTGTTCTATTGCATCAATTAAACATTTTGATATAAAAATTCATTCAATTAGAAAGAATAGACCAAAACCAGGACTTGCTGAGCAACATATTGTTTGTATTAAATCAATTGGAGAGATTTTTGGAATTCCATTAGAAAATGTTCGTTTAAAACAGTTAGAATTATTATTTGAAGGGAGTAAAGGTAAAGAAATGAAAGAACCAATTTGTAAAACATTCAAAATGAAAGGTGCAGGTAGTTGTTGTTTAGTATTACAATCTCTTCTTCCTATATTAATTAGCATAGAAGGAAGTCACCAAGTATCAATACATGGAGGAACACATGCATTATGGGCACCAACTCCTGAATTTTACAATGACATATTATCACCAGTACTTAAACTAATGGGAATAACACTTAATGTTCAACTCAAAAAGTATGGGTTTTTCCCAAAAGGGGGAGGACAAATTGATTGTTTAGTTCAATCACCTTCATCTATTCAACCAATTAAATTAATTGAACGTGGAAATGGAATTAAAATAAGTGGACAAATTGTTGGTGGAAAAGGAGATGAAGAAGAAATAATTTCAATACTTCAGTTTATTAAAAAGGAGTGTAGAAAGAATATTAGAATAAATGGAGAGCCATTAGTATGTGAAGTAGAAGGAAGGTGTCATTCAAATGGGAAAACCAAATACGTTGAATTATATGTTGAATTTGAGTATTGTAGAATATCATCATGTTGTGTTCAAGAAAATAATGAAACATTTAAAAATCTTGTAATTAGAACATTAAATAAGTTATATGAAGAATTTGAACATGGTGGGTGTTGTGATGAATTTCTTCAAGACCAATTATTAATTCCAATGGCATTAGCAAATGGTCATTCGATGATATCATGTGGTAAAATATCGTTACATTCTGAAACTATGTTTGTTTTATTAAAACAACTTCTAGGAGTTACATTTAATGTAATATCACAAGGAAGTTATAATATTATTGAATGTTCTTTATTAAAATAATAAATTAAAGACCAAATATATTAAATAATAAAAACAAATTATAATGAAATGATTATTTGCGTAAAATCTTTAGTAAAGAATTGATTCAATACAAAGTGGAAGATTTATTTTTTCTTCTTTTTGACGTAAACTAGCAAAAATAGGTAATTCTTCTCCATCACTTTCCCAAAGAGCTGGAGTACCATAATGGTTAGCTAAAATATTCCAATCAATAGAACAACTTATAATATTATCAGATTCATTCTCTTCTTTTTGTGTTAATAAACAATCATCACATGAATCATATTCATCTTGACTAATAGATTCATCACTTGAACAATACTCTAAACCAGGTGATGATGGTGAAGAAATTGTACCAAAGAATTGTGCAAATCTTTTCATTGTTGCTTTTTGTCTTCTATTTCTTTTACTTGTTTGAGCTTCAGAAAATTCAATAACAATTCTTTTACCATTCCATTCTTTTCCATTTTCAGTGTTTTTAGCTTTTGAAGCATCACTTTCATTTTCAAATTTAACAAATGCATATGTTTGTTCTCCTCTTGGAATAGTGATTTTTTGAACTAAACCATAAGGCTCCATTTTATTTTTAATAAAAGATTCATCACATTTACTCATACCAGTAATATAAAGAGTTGTTTTATCTAAATCACTTTCTTTTATTTGTGATGATTTAGCCCATTCCACAATAACTTTGTTATTGTCAACAAAAATTCCTTTCTTTTCTTTTGCATCACAAACACATCTAATAGCATCTTCTACTCGTTTAAATTTAACAAAACCACATGCCTTTTTTTTTTCTCCATCACTCAATAAAGTAACTTCTGTTATTTCTCCATAATATCCACAAAGATATCTTAATCCTTTTTCCCTTCTATTTCCTATACGTGCTACAAAGACGGTTGTTGAACTATTCATCTCTTAGAATCAATTTTTAACTATTTGAACTAAGATGAAACCATCATTTCTTTAAATATCACAGGGTTCGTTTAAAGGGTTCTTTTTTGGATTTTTTTAAAAATATAGAATTGGATTTCTTCTTTCTATGAATAAAGGGTTGAAATACTGAACTCAAAGTTATTGTATCGACTTTTTTCTTGAATTATTTCGGTGATTCCAATCATACAGAAGGGTTTCCTTTTCGTGGAATTTTCTTAATATAAACTAGAAAAGTATTCAACTAAATTTAAATTTGCACGTCAATGTAAAAATAAACCTCCATTTCTTTTTTCTTCTTTATATTTCGATTAAGTATCACTTTTCATTTTTCATTTCTCAAACTCTTAAAATAAAATTTCAATTTAAAAATAATTACAATTTTTAAAATAGAACTATAAATATATCTTTATAATTAGTTCTATATATTTTTTTCTTATTTTTTAAATTTAATCCAATTATTTTTATTAGAAAAAAAAAAGATATAGAAGTAACTCAATATTCTGTAAACAAAAAATCTTAATTAAAATGAGTACTCGTGGAATTAAAGTTGTTCTTGTAGGTGATTCATTCACTGGTAAAACATCTCTGATTCAAAGGTTAGTTACAGATGATTATTTGGATACTCATTTATCAACTGTTGTTTCTTCTTGTTTTCAAAAAACAATACATTTAAGTGATAGAGATATGAACATCAATATTTGGGATACTGGTTTGTTTTTTTTTTATTTTAATTAAAATTGAATACTTATTGATAGCTGGTCAAGAACGATTTAGATCATTGGCATCAAATTTCTTTCGTGACGCACAAGGTATTATCATTTGTTATGATGTTACCTCTCCAAAAAGTTTAACAAGTATTCCTATGTGGATTAATGAAAAAGAAAACAAGGCAGAAGACAATGTTATCTGGATGTTAGTTGGTTGTAAATCTGATCAACAAATAAACGTTGACGAAACAAAAGTTAAAGAAATTATTGATAGGTATGGAGTTCTTCATATGACATGTTCAGCAAAAACAGGAACTAGTTTGTTTTCATTTTATTTTTATTAGTCTCACAAAGTTTATGCTTTAGATGTCAATGAAGTTTTTGTTACTCTTTGCGAAAGAATTAATGAAATATTACAAGACCCTATTAATGACATTGATGACGAACCAGATCTGATTAATGTCAATCAAAATTCTTCAACAACGAATAGTCAAAAAGATTCAAAATGTAATTGTTGATATCTTTTGTTTAATTTAAATACTTTTTGAATAAGATGAACTATATTTTCTTCTTGTTTAATTTATGAATACTTTTTTTCCAAAAAGATGATATAATATGTAAAATTTTTTGTTTTCTTTATTATGTGAATTATTTATATTTTATTCTTCTAGAAGACATTTTTTTTCTTTAAAAAAATTGCGAATGAAAAATAGTTTTTGAGTTATTTTTATTATAATCATTTTTATATCTAATATTATACAAAACCTTACATAATATATTAATAATATAAACAATCAACTTCTTTGTTTTTTTTTTCTTAAAAAAAATATTTCTTTTTTTGACTATTCTTAACAAAACAAAACAGCCACAAGTTAACGATGTTTATTTTTTCTTACTTCATGTTTATAATGTTACAAACTTCTTAATAAAGATATGTTATATAAAACATTTGAATACAAATAAGCATCATAACACTTTGTCAATTGAATGAGATAAAAAAGGGTTAAAAAAATACAAAAAAAAAATTTAATAAATCGGGAATATTACCGTAATTAAAAATAGAAAAAAAGAAAAATTAAACATAAAAGGAATGATAGAACTAAACAAAGAAGGAAGCAATCATGAATGAAAGTACAAGTGTCTCTACTGCCCCTGTTACACCACAAAACGAATTAGAAAAAACATATGATGGTTCTATTCAATTAATTATTGGTCCTATGTTTAGTGGTAAAACAACTGAGTTAATAAGGCTTATTAGAAGATTTAAATATTCTAAAAAAACTACTGTTGTTATTAAATACTCTAAAGATACTAGGTATGGCTCAGAAGATGAAACAATGTCTCATGATAAAGAGTCATGGAAAGCTATCCCAGCTATGAGATTAATGCCATTACTTGAAACTGCTCTTGGTTATGAAGTTATTGGTATTGATGAAGGTCAATTCTTCCCTGATTTAATAGAGTTTTCAGAAACGTGTGCAAGTTATGGAAGGTCAGTAATCATAGCAGCATTAGATGGTACATTCCAAAGAAAGCCGTTTGGACAAATTACTAATCTTATTCCATTGTGTGAAAATGTAAAAAAGTTAAGTGCCATTTGTGTTAATTGTGGTAAAAAGGCAGCTTTTTCATTAAGAATTAGTACAGAAGAATCGATTGAAGTTATTGGAGGAGCAGATAAATATTGTGCTGTATGTAGAAAGTGTTTCTTTAAAGATGCTGCTATGTTAAAAACACAAAAAAGTGCTGATTTTGCTTCTCAAATGAATAAACAAGAAGAGTCAAGAAAAAAGAATAATTCTTTTTTTTAATAAAAAGGAATTTAATATAAATTTCTATCATATTTAGTCAATTGAATTTTTTTTAAAACATATTTTTTTTTATATATTTTTTCAAAGTAAATGAGAGAAGCTAATTAAATAATACTTATTTAATTCTTCTCCTTTTGGTTTTGTTAAAGAAGAAGTATTTGAAATTGACTTTTGTTTTGAATTTCATATTTTACAAATAACAAATAATATAATAAATGTTGAAGAAGTAACTAACGAAAAAAGCTTGTTGTAAAGTCTAAATATTTGTGTCATAAAAGTTGTTAAAAAACTTACGTATAATAAACCATATTGCACATACAACTCTATCCTCCATTTTTATGTTATTGACTCTAATTGATGAATAACTCCAAAACTTGATATTAAAATTGTTGATAATCCACATACAAGAAGTGATATTGCAAATAATAAAACAACTAATGTTGGATTAGTTTTTAGTTCATCCGTTTTAAATCACTCTAATTTATTAAAAACAAAATTTAATAATTCAGTTAAAGTAGTTACTACAATAACGTTGGTATTTTATTAAATTTTATTAGTTAATAACTAAAATCAAATAAATGCTATCAACAACAACCAGACCATAAACAAATTTCTTAATCCAACCTGTATACCTTTTTTTGATTTCCATTGTATTGTGTATATAGTTCAAAGTTGTTTGTTATTTCTTTTTGTTTGTTCTTAAGTATCAGTTTGATTCTTTGACTAATTGTTATTTAATATTAATTTAATAATGTTATTTATAACATTATTAAATATAATCTTAAATTATTATTGTTATATAAAACTAAATTAATTTTTGTTATTAGTAATAGAACTAAAACTAAGTATAATCATAACTGTGAAGATGGAAGGTGAATTTTTAAATAATAAAAGCTCCAGTGTTGTAAAGAAAGAAAATGTAGTAAACTATTTTTTCTTTGAAAATGGAATTGCTCTTTCAATTGAACCAAAAGAGTATTGGGCACCATTTGTAGATGGAATAAAAAAAGAACTAAAAACAAATTATATCATTGTTTGTTTAACGTTAAAAAGATAATAAGGTAATAACACCAATAGAAGTACTGTAGTTGCAATTCATTAAAATCAAAAACAAGTGATGGTATAGAAGTTGGAGCGTTGAGATTGGCAAATGAAATTTGTAATGACCTTAAAGATACTAAAAGTAAAAGAGGAGATGAGAAATATAAAATTCATTTTATTGGACATTCACTTGGTGGAGTATATTTCCGGTTAGCAATTCCTATATTATTTAATCGTAATATATTTAATAATCCAAATTATATCCCATTCAGTTTTATTACTTTAGAATCACCTCATGCTGGTGTTAAGAAATCACAAACAGGATTTAAACCTTTCTTTGGAAATGTTTTTGAAGGAGAAACACTTAATGAATTAGAGCTAAATGATCGTCCTTTTCCACCATATGATCCATTATGTTTAGATGAATATCCTTTATTGTTAAGAATGGTTGAAGATGATGTTATTGCTCCATTAAAAAAGTTTAAGCATCTCACTTTAGTCCAAAACATTAGAGCATCACCACAAGTACCCTATGTATCTTCTGCACTTGATCGGGCAATTCCTTATGACAGAGACTTTTTACAAGATCAATTCCTATTAGATGGATTTGATTTCTTAAGAGGATACAACGATATCGTTGATGGTTGTACTAAACATTACCAATTACAAAATGAACATGGAGATATATTTGAAGAAAGGGTAGACGGTTGTATTATTCATGACCGTATAATTAAACAACTTAACACATTAAATTGGAGACGATTAAATGTTCATTTTAGAACAAAATCAAATGATGCTCATATATTCATTATGGGCCAAATGAATAGAAAAAAATTATTTAAAAATTGGGGAAATGAAGATGTTGAGCGATACCTGGATGTAATAGCAAAGATTATCAAAAGAGATATCGACATTGAAAATAACACTGCAGAAATAAATCCTTCTCTTATTGAAGAAGTTAATGAACCAATAAAATCGGATGACCAACCTTTTAAAGAAGAGAAATTGATTGATATTCCTCAGTCAACTCAAATTACTCAACAAATTGACAAAGATCAAACTCAATTACTTTAGACAAAAATTTATTTCTTTTTATAAACTTGTATTAAATTAATTTAGAAACCTACTTTTCTAATGCAAAAATGTCATAAATTAGCAACATCCACCTTCTTTTTGGGTTTGTTGACCTTGTTTGGAAATATCAACATTATTAGCATCAGGTTTTGGGTTGACAAGATCAGAGAATTGTTTAAATATCAATCGTGTAATTTTTGCCATTGCTTCTTCAACTGCAAGTCCACTTTTAGCTGATGTCAAAATACCATCTGAGTACTTTTGTTCTGCTACTTTAGCCATTAAATCTTCTTGTGCCTTATTTAATTCTTCTTCACTTAAACAATCAGCTTTATTTCCAACCAATAATGCTGGAATTGACTGTTCATTAAACTTAACTTTATTCTCAAGGTCTTCCTTCCATCTATCAGTAGCTGCAAATGTGTCTGGATTAGTGAGGTCATACATAATAATAGCACCATGTGCTCCATTATACTATTTTGGTTATTATTTCTTCTTAACTTTTATTTGAAAACACTTTAACAAACATAAACACGAGTCATAGCAATATATTTTTCCTGACCTGCAATATCCCATAATCTAAGTTCAACATCACGTTCATCAACTGTTGTAAATTTAACAGCAAAATCAACACCAATAGTTGCACGGTATAATTGGTCAAATACACCATGACAATACTTTCTAATAGTTGATGTCTTACCTACACTTGGTTCTCCAATAACAATAATTTTTAATTGTAATGCTTCCTTGGACTCTTCCTAGTTTTGTTAATACTTTTAAATTAAAGACAAATAAGCGTATCACAGCTCACAAACCATTATTTGTATGATTTAGTTCCATTTGTTCGTTCAGTTGTTCTCAACTTTTCTCATGGATTATAGAATTTTCTTTTTTATTCCATCCTGAATGAGCTAACTTTGTAACTTGCAATTTTTTCTTTATTTCTATTAATAATAATATTTATATTATAAATTATAGCTTTTATTTTTTTTAAGAAAGAAGAAATAAATTTTCTTTTGTTTTCTTTTTGTAAAAAAAAAAAATAAAAATATATTTATTTTATAAGAAAAAAAAAATAAAATGAAAAGTTACAAAAAATGAAATTTGGAGTTGACTATCAATAATTAATGAGTTAACTGTATAATTGAAAGATGATACAATGGATTAGAATAAGGAACAACACGACGAGCTAATGGGATAGCATTTTTGTAGGTTAAATTTATATTTGAATTTGAAAATACTTTACCATCAGAAGTAACCCAAAATGCACCAGGAATAGTGATTACTAAATCTGAATTAGAGATAGGATGAATGACTAATGACTTTTTTAGATTAACTGGATGATATAAAGTAGGTTTTGTAGAGAAGTTTTGAATAACAAATATGAAATGGTTTTGGTCTGAGTCTATCTCAGCACGAGTAGAACTATTTCTACATGGAACAGTCTTTGAATAATAACTTCCAAATAATTCTCCAGAAAATAACCGTACAATAATAAAAAAGTTATTTTTTCCAGAAACAACAGAATAAATGTCTCTTGAAGAAAGTTGGAGATAATTTGAATCATATAATACTGTGTATCCATTAGTCACTTGTTCTGTTCCATTTTTAATAGATGAAAACCATTTTTTAATCATTAAACAATATTCTGAAGTAAGTGTTAATTGTGGAGAATAAGACATCATATCAAAAGAATTCAATGGAGATTCTAAATGGGTTGAAGGAGTTCTAAATGGAGATGGAGAGTTTTGTTGTTTTGAGTTGTTAGAAATTTTTTTTATTCTTGGACTTGGAGAAAGTACTTTTTTTGAGTCAACAGATTTAATAAAATCTTCAGACAAAATATCACAACTATTTGAAAGTGAGGTGTGTGGAGAATTAAGAACGTCTGATGGTTGAAGGTCATCTTTTAGAGAGAATCTATTTTTCTTTGAAGATTTAATTTTATGAAAAGGTCTCTTTTCAAATTTGCATCTATCAGAAAGACTTCCTCTCTTTGTTGTTTTTGTTTCTTCATTCCCCATAAAGATAAAATAACTTTAGAAGATTCAAATTACGTAATATTTTTGTTTTTTTTTCTTTCATTAAAAAAAATCATAAAAACTTTAAAATTAATACTCATTTAATATGGTCTTTTGTGAGTAAAAAAGTACACAACAACTATTACTACTAAACCTGGAACAAAGAAACACAGCCAAGGATTAGATCCAATTTTTATTTGTGATTTTTTAATTTTTAGTTGATCATTTGATTTTATATTAGTTTTTATATTTTCAGTTCTACAACTTTTACATTCACAAATACCACCAACACTAATTTCATTTTCAGGATTACATCCAAATTTTTTTGTTTTTAAATTATTAAATTTACAATTAACGATATTTTCAGTAAATCCTTGATATGGTTTTAAACAATGAGAGTCTTCAAAAGCTTTAATATTATAAATTTTACTTCCTTTTCCTTTTCTTTTAGATGAAATATAAATAACATTTTTTTTAGTTTTACAAGGTTTTTTAATTGATATTGGAGTACATTTATTTTCAGAAACATAACCACACGCTATTTTATATGTTGTATTAAAAATACAATTTGTGTCTAATATCTCATTATTTTCACATGAAACTGGAACACAAACTTCTATCACTTTTGGTTTGACAGTATTTTCATCTTTAACTGTTGTAACTCTTTTAGTGCTTTTTTTTGTTTGATACCCTATTGGACTTCTTTGTAAATAAGCACCTGCTTTACGTGCAGTTTTAAATCTCATTCTTTTTATTGCAACTGAGTCATTTACAAGAAGTAATAAAATAAGGATGGAAAAGAATTTCATTTCTTGTAAATTATCTTTTTTCAGTTCTTTTCTTTTATCTATATTTTTAAGATGATTTGGAATAACACAATTTTATAAAAAATAACCAATCCCTTTTTTTTTAAAATGTTTATTTGTTGAATCACGAAGATTTATTTCTTTTACAAAATCAAAAAGAAATAATCAATGACAAAATCATTAATATATTTTCTATTTCAAGATTTTATTGTAATAAAAAAAACTAAAAATAAATTTTTTTAATAATAAAAGCAATAAAAATTTTGATTTTTTTTGTATTTTTATGAAAAAAAATCAAAATTTTAGATTTGAGAAAAAAAACAGAACAAAATTAAAAATCAAGATCTTTTCATTACAAATAATGGAGTTTGTAACACATTGCGAAAATTCTGAAAGCTCTACCACTTCGTCTATCATCCCTGAAATGGAAACTTCATCTCAAATTGTTGAACTTGCTCTTTCTGTAGAACGAGCTGATACTGCAGCATTACTTGGAGCTGATGAAAGTAATATTGATACATTAGAAAAAAAAAGGTTAGAAGAAATTAGACAACAACAAATTAGTCAAGCTAAACTCATGGCTGAGAGAAGGCAAAAGAAAGCTGCTATGGGTATGGAAGAACGTCAAAATTGGGAACAAGAAATTGAGAGATATCGTATAGAAAATGAGGAAGTTGAAGAAAGACAAAGAAGGCTTGATATAGATGAAACAATGGAAGAGTTTTATCCTAAATTATGTGAGTGGGTTGGACTTAGTAATTATGAAGTGTTATATAATAGTTTAGAAGATGGAACAAATGCATCAGATCTTAATAAAAAAATATGTGGAGAAAAGAACGTTATGTTTATTATAATCACGAAAACAGGATATGCGTTTGGATGTTTTTGTCATAAAGTTTGTTAATTTTGATTAATTTTGATTTTATTTCTATCTAAGGGGTAATCAAAATTGATAGTCATTTATATCTTATAAATGATACTTTTTCGTTTTCTTTTATTCACCTTATCCCTCATTTTTTATTATTTAACAAAATTTATATTTATTTATAGAAAATTCCTTATCCAAAGAAATCTTATATTTATTCAATGTACGATAAAAAATACTTCACTTTTTCTTTAAGAAATCCTTCTTGTTCAGAACCAATATATTTTAAACAAAAACATAAAGGAAAATCTATTTGTATTTGGCCAAATGACGAAAAAAATTTTATTTTTACAACAAAACGATTTATTAAAATTAAAAATCCTAATGGTCCTCATGGTACACGATCATTCTTTCATGGCAAATTTTCATTAAAGTATAAAAGTAAAGATCATCAAAAAAGAGAACATACATTCTTTACACAAACAACTGCCTTTGATGTACATCGTTTAGTTGTTTTACATTGGTTTTAACATAGTATATGTACTTATTGTATTATCATACAACTATATTAAATATATTTGTCTTCTTTTTTAGTTTATTTCAACATGGTATTTCTTATACTAACTAACAGAAAATAAAATTACTAATTAAACTTAATTACACTCAAAAAAAGATAAAACTTCCTTTTTTTAATAAGAATCTAATATGAACATTCTTTTTAATGCAAAATCAGTGTCATCACCAAGAAGTAGTGTATCTAATGCATTCTTAAAATTTACTTTAAAATTTGGATTTACTTCTGATACAACTTCATTTAATGGAAACATAATTGAAAATGCACCGTCTACATTTATGACACATTGCTTATCAGCTTTAAATGATATGGAAAAATGGCATAAATCGCCAAATGATCTTAACTTACCAAATTTAGTTGGTTTAAGTAACTTTGGACTTCTTAAAGAAAATACAAATGTATCAAAATCTTCAGCAAATCCATATTCATTGATATAAATTGGAGCTTCAAGATAACAACCAAATAATGCATTTTTAGTTGTTTCAAATAATAAAACAAGATTTTTTCTTCCAACGACTGTAAACTGAATATATTCTTGTAAAAAAGGTTGTTGATCAGTATCATACAATATTCTAAATTCATGTTGTCCTGTCCATTCTTTAAGATAAAACAATTCATTTAATTGTAATGTGTTTTCAAAAGAATTTGATAAATTAGATTCTTTTAAATTAATATCCTTATTTTCTTTTTTAATATCTTTTCCATATATGGTATTTGATATTTGTATTAAAATATTATACACACTCTTTGCGAATGACTCAATTATTTCATTCCCGTTCATTTGATCAATAGCTTTTTTCATTTCTTTTAATGTATCTTTAATAACTTCCATCATTCTATGTTTTTGAAGTTCCTCTCTCTTATATTATATGAAAGAAGACTACTTTTTTTTAACTAAACTATTTATTTAATTTCTATTCAAAAAAAGAAACTAAAATTATAACAAGGATCGCTTCTTTTAATTAACACCTCTTAAGCCTTAGCTTGTTTCTTTGAACCCTTAGCTGGTTTCTTTTCAGCTTCAGTTGGGGCAGCAGTAGCGTGTTTAGCTGATCTAGTATAGATCCAAATGTGATTATCAACTTTGACTGGAACGATCAATTCTTTCTTTTCAAGATCTTTAAGAAGAATTTTAGCAAGGGAACATGTGATTTTCATTCTATCAGCAACAACAGCTGGTGTAATAACTTTCATTGATGGAACTTCCTTAGTACATTTGTCAAGAGTAGCTTTATCAAATAAAACAGCGTTGTTTAACTTTTCCTTAACTTTAGTCTTTGACCATGACTTCTTTGGAGCTTTTCCTCCTGATGATTTTTTTGGTTTAGTTAAAGCACCTTTCTTTCCTGCAGCAGCTCCTTTTCCTTTAGCGTCCTTGGGTGGCATGAATCTGACAATTCATTTTCTTGTTCAGATTGCTTTTTATATTTCTCTTATTATTTTCTTTCTATTTCTTACTTCCTCAAACCCTTATTATTCAATTATAGATTTATTATAGTTTTTTTAATAGTATTTATAGTTTATTTATTTTTTTAATATTCTCTAATATTATTTATAATTTCTTTTTTTTTTTTGATTAAAACTTTGATTTTTTCAATTAGAACTTAAAATTAAATTACTGTTTTATAAGTACAATACTAATATATTTTTTTAGATTAGTCCTGAGATAACAGTATATTTTTTTGGTTCTTTTTAAATTAAATTATTTTGTTCATATATCAGTTATAATACCCAACGATAAATACAGTAATTTGATTATTTCATTAGTCATTTTTAATAATAGTAATTTATTTGTTTCTTAGTGCTTTTCTATTGTTTCTTATCAATGGTATAACTTTCTTTGAGTTTAAAATCTTGTTATTTTTCTTCTATTTATTTATTGTTTGTGAGAATAGGCACATTATTGAATAGGGGAAATGAGTGAGCAACATTAATTTCTTATAATAAAGAAAATTATATCGAGGTATTTGTTTGGTTATTTTTTCTTTTTGTATTAAACTACAATATAGTCTTGTGCCTATCAAAGAGTTGGTAGTGAATTAGTCATTTAGAATAAGTAAAGGTTAATTGTTTTTATTAGATTTATTGTTTAAGAAATTTAAGAAAGACTGGCAACACATTAGAAGAGGAACCTTCTAATGCGAGTATGTTAGAAGTGAACTCTATTGTAGAAATAGAGCATATTGAAGAAACTGAAACAATCACTTCTCAATATCATAAATCCAATTGTGGATATATCTATTATTTGATATTTTTTTGTTTAAGAAATTTAAGAAAGACTAAAAAAGTTGTTGGATAAATGATTTTTTTGAATTTAGAAAATAATTTTTCGAATATACTTTTAAGTAAAAAAGAATGTTATAATTTTATAGGACTTAATTTACGCTATTCTTGATTGTTTTTTTATTAATGCCTTTAACAGAGACTATACTTAATTCTAGATTTGTTTTTAAAGAAATAACTTTAACAGAATAGGAGGTATGTCTTAAAAATTAAAAATTTTCTTCAATTATTGATAAACAAGATCTTTTGAAAAGGTCTTGGATTTATTTCTCTTCTACAATCTTAATTTTATCTCAATTATTTAAATCAAATATTTAACATATCATTATTTCATATTATAAACAAAGTATCAGCAATCCAGTGATTGTGTTAATTTTGTTATAATAATAATAACGATTTATTATACTTATTTGAATATTCTTCTTTAGATTACTTTGAATATTATTCTTGATATTATCATATTTAAGTTATTTCTTATAATTTATTACACATA